AGCTTGTGTCCCAACATATGGTCTATCCTTGAGAGTGTTTGATTTGCACTGGAGAAGAATATATAATACGATGTTTTGGGATGAAAGGCTCTGTAAATGTCAATTATGTCCATTTGGTCTAATGTGTCATTTAAGGCCGATATTTCTTTATTGATTTTCTGTTTGGATGATCTACCTAAAGCTATCAATGGAATATTTAGGTTCCCTACTATGACTGTTTTTGTCATTTTCTCCCTTTGGTTTTCTTAGTAGTTGCTTTCTATATTTCCATGCTCCCAGATTGAGTGCATGTATATTGAGAAGTGTTATGTCTTCTCCATGTACTGTCCCCTGTATCATTATGAAATGTCCATCTTTGTCTTTTGTTACCTTTGTTATCTTGAAATCTAATTTGTCAGATATAAGTGTAGCTACACCTGTTTTTCTGTACATGCAAGTTGCTTGGAGAATCATTTTCCACCCTTTCACTTTGAGTCTGTCTTTGTCTTTGCAGATTCCATGTGTCTCCTGAAGGCAGCAATATGCTTGGTTTTTTTTTTTTTTTTTAATCTAATCTGCTATTCTGCCTTTTTACTAATGAATTCAGTCCATTTACATTTAGTGTAATTATTGAGATATGAGGATTTCCTATAGCCATTTTATCTTTTGCTTTCTAGTACCTCTGTGCCTCCATTGGTTCTTTTCCTTTGTATTTTTGTCTGTTGCTTTTGTTTGGTGGTATTTCATACCTTTTCCCTCTGTTTCCTCTTTTTTAAAATTATGTGTCTCAGTTTTTGTTTTTTGTTTTTTTTCTAATCCTCACCCGAGGACATTTTTCCATTTTTTGTTCAGACAGAGTGGGAAGGAGAGGGAGAGAGAGAGAGAGAGAGAGAGAGAGAGAGAGAGAGAGAGAGAGAGAAACATCGACGTGAAAGGAACACATCAAGTGGTTGCCACCCGCACGACCCAACCAGGGCTGGGGACAAACTGCAACCGAGTTACATGCCCTTAGCGGGAACCGAACCTGGGTCTCTCCGGACTGCAGGCTAATGCTCTAACCGCTGAGCCAAACCGGCCAGGGCTCAGTTTTGTTTTTTTTTTATTTATTTTTTTATCCTCACCCGAGGACATTTTTTGTTCAGATAGAGAGGGAGGGAGAGAGAGGAAGAGAGAGAGAGAGAAACATCGACGTGAAGGGACACATCGAGTGGCTGCCACCCGCACGACCAACCAGGGCCGGGGACAAACTGCAACCGACGTACGTGCCCTTAGCGGGAACCGAACCCGGGTCTCTCCGGACCGCAGGCCGATGCTCTAACCACTGAGCCAAACCGGCCAGGGCTCAGTTTTTGTTTTTTATGAGTGGTTACCATTAGGCTTATGAAAAAGAAAGTTCCATATATACAGTAGTCATTTTTTTTTTTTTTTTTAAGTCTGGCTTTTTATTTATTTTTTATCCTTACCCGAGGACATTTTTCCATTTTTTTGTTCAGATAGAGTGGGAGGGAGAGAGAGGAAGAGGGAGAGAGAGAGAAACATCGATGTGAAAGGGACACATTGAGTGGCTGCCACCCGCACGACCAACCAGGGCCAGGGACAAACTGCAACTGAGGTACGTGCCCTTAGCAGGAACTGAATTGGGGGCTCTCTGAATTGCAGGCCAATGCTCTAAAGACTGTGCCAAACCGGCCAGGGCAAGTCCTTTTTCCTTTGAATGCATTTAATCTCCTTCCCTCTTTGCCAATTCAGACCTTTACTCCCTCCCCTTTTAAGATTTTTTTTGTGGTAAAAATGTATCCTTATTTACGCTGTAAATTTGTTGGTGATTTTACTAGTAGTTTTTTGACCCTTTGTTCTTTGTTTCAAGTAGAATAACCGCCTTGAGTATTTCCTGCAATGTAGGTCTTCTGGTGATAAATTCCCTCAGCCTCTGTGTGTCTGGAAATGTATTTATTTCTCCTCCTTATCTAAAGGATAACTTTACTGGATATATTATTCTTGGCTGGTAATTTATCTCTTTCAGTAGTTTGAATATTTGGTTTCACTCTCTTCCAGCTTGTAGGGATTTTGCTAAGAAGTCTGATGATAACCTAATGAGCTTCCCTTTTTAGGTAACTTTTTTCTTTTTCCTGGCTGCCTTGCAAATAATTTCTTCATCATTAATTTTTTTGACAATTTTAATACAGTGTGCCTTCAAGAAGACCGTTTTGGATTGTGGTGATTAGGTGTTCTGTTTGCTTCTTAGATTCGAGGATATAGCTCTTTCTATAAGTTTGGGAAGTTCTCATCAAATATTTGTTTGAATAGGCTCTCCATTCCTTTCTCCCTCTCTTCTTATTCTGTTATACCTAATATTCTTCTATTGCTCTTTCATTCATGTAGAATTCTTTCTTTCTTTCTTTCTTTCCTTTCTTTCTTTTCCTTCCTTTCTTTCTTTCTTTCTTTCTTTCTTTCTTTCTTTCTTTCTTTCTTTCTTTCTTTCTTTCTTTTCTTTTCTTTTCTTTCTTGCTCAAGCCTCTCTCTTCTTCCCTTTGTGCCATTTCTAGTTGTCTATCTTTGCTATGACTAATTTTTTTCCCATCTGGTCAGTTATATTTTCTGTGGTCACTAGTTCATTCTTTATCTCTTTTATTGAGTTTTTCATCTCCAGAATGTCTGTTTTGTTCTTGTTTGAAATTTCAGTCTCTTTGGTAAATTACTCATTTTGTTCATTGGTTTTTTTCTGAGTTCATTAAACTGCCTGTCTGTGTTTCCTTGCATCTCTTTGAGTTTTTCAGAACTGCAGTCTGGAATTTTCTGTCATTTAAATCACATATTTCCATGTATTTAAGTTTATTTGAGGGAAGTTTTAAAATTTTCTTTCTGAGCTGCCTTATTACCTTGCTTATTCATGGTATTTGATGGATTCCTTCTCTGTCTAGGCATCTTTGTATGAGTTGCACTTCTCCAGTAGATTCATAGGAAGAAGGCTTTCTGTTTTTTTCCAGTAGGTGGTGCTGAATCAAATTTTTAGGTCCCTTGCACTTCTCAGTCCCTTGGCTTTTCGGGTCTCTGTGCGGTGGTGGACAATGGCCTGTGTGCCCTGGGAAGGTAGTCGCTTCCCCTGTGATCAGGTCGCCCCAGTCCTAGGCGACCATCCTGTGTGGGAACATGGTGGGGGACGGGGCTCCAAATCTAAAATCCCGATGCTGTCCCCTGCAGCCAGATGTGGCCAACAGTTTTGTTGCAATGTGTGGGGGTGGGGTGAGCTGGCGGAACCTGACTGCTGCTTTGTTGCTTTTCCCTCCCAGCAATGATGATCTTGAACATCCTGGACACCCCCTGTGCCTCCACTCTACCCTGGGATTAGTCACAGAGTGTGCCCTTTGCCCAGGGAAAAAGTGTTTCGATAGTAATAGTTCTTGGATTTGCATAATTTCTGTCTCTGGAATGCCAATTGGGAGACAAGTGTGGGCTCACATCCTGCCCAGGTCACTGGGCTCAGCTGCAGCTTGTATTCCCACTCATGCAGGAATGCTCACTGAATCTCTTTGCTCCTCCCAGTGAACGGGAGTGCCAGCCACAACCTGTTTTCTTCCTTGTCTGGGCTGAGCCCTGCTTGAGCTCTGGGCTGCAGTGCTGTGTCCATGGCTAATCTCAGCTTTTCTCTCTTCTTGCCTCCCTGGTTCACTGCCACTTATCCACCTTGAAATGTTTCAACGCACCGATCTCTCAGATTTGTTTGTGCATTGACCAGGGAATCATTTGTTGACTTACAGCTATTCAAACTGTTGAAACTTTAAGGGGAGAGACCAAGAGAATCTCTTATGATGCCATTTCTCTTATGTCACCCACCATTTTCTGATGTCATCCTTTTTTTGTAATTCTGACTCTGCTTAACCACAGGTTGATCTGTCTTCATCGGTTTTGTAGTCAGACTGTTCCTGAATTAGAAAAATGAAGTATTTCCCAAGGAGGGTGTGTCTTAGTCTTTCAGAAAGTAATTCTGGCCTGGCCTGTGTGGCTCAGTGGATTGATCATTGTCCCGTGGACTGAGAGGTCCCAGTTCAATTCCTGGTCAGGGCACATGCCCAGGTTGTGGGCTCGATCCTTAGTAGGGGGCATGCAGGAGGCAGCCGATCAATATTTCTCTCTCACATCAATGTTTCTATCTCTCTCCCTTCCTCTCTCTCTCAAAATAATCAAAACATTGGAAAAAACAAAAGAGAGAGAGAGAAAGTAACTCTGTCACGCACAGTCATATAAATGACAGAAAATCATTCCTTGGTGCCCTAGATACCAAATGCCAAATCTTGCTTCACCCTCTTCCCCGTACCCCAGCCCCAGGACATGGCTTTGTCTTCAAAAGAGGACCTAGGAAGCACTTCACATACCTTGCTGCTTCCCGGCTCTGGGTCAACTGGGAATTATCCTCATCTTGAGCTATATTTTGTACCCCGTCCCACCCCACGCACATTTTTTCCCTCAGATTTTTTCTATTTATGTTGGAAATGTTACTGTGATAGTTCTACGGGAATACTTCTATGTTTTTGTAATTGTAGACAAGTTCAAACAGTGTTTGTACTTTTTCTAAATTGCTTCTATATAAACAAAGATAAAACCATTGAGAAAAGCATGTAAGAGTTAGACGGTTGAGAATAAATGCTAAACAATGAAAAAGTTTAGCCTGGCAAAGATGATGAAATGGATGGGTAAAAATAGAAAGTATCTGTGGAGAGGGCCTCGTAGATTCGGGCTCAGGTGGCAGTTTGAAGTGCAGAGGGATTAAGAAGACTGTGTGGTCCACCTGCAAGGTTCTGCGGGGACCTGCTGACTCCTGCTGAGACCACCCTGGTGGGGAAGGTGGTGTCGCTAGGAGGACTTACCCAGAATGCATCTTAGTGTCCCTCGAAGGAGGAAGAGCTTCAATGATGTCTTCTCAGCTGAGAATCTATAGCAATGGTGGGCTTTCTGTAAAGTGTATATGATCTGAGTTTCTCAGTTGAATTTCATAAAGGTCCTAAATCATTTTTTTCTTTCAGATTTCAACTGTGAGGAAATGTCATTCAGGTTCGGCCAACATCTCATCAAACCCTCTGTGGTGTTTCTCAGAACAGAACTGTCCTTTGCCCTCGTGAACAGGAAACCTGTGGTACCAGGACGTATCCTTTGTTTTAAGAGAGGAAAACTATAAAAAGCCTCGGAACCTAACATACCAAATGAATATGAATACAGGATCGGCCTCCGATATCTGTCCAAAAGGTAAACAAGCATCCACGTGCCTACCTCCCTGTCTGGACAAACCAGGTAAGATGTTGCATTTATTCTGAATCCCGCTGGTGGCACCAGTAATATGCTTGATCAGTTTTGTAGAACTTCTGGAAAGAGTTGCTTAGCAACTGTGGCTTTGGAGGTGAGTTTTTGCTTGACCTTTTCATGTGGTAGCTGTGCAAATAGGTGCCTCTGAAGTGATCCCAATAAATATCACGGGCTCTTTGTTTTCAGTCATCAGTTGTGAATTTTAATAGTAGGATAGAGATTGGGTGGCACTTGTGTGATGTGGAAGTAAGAGATTGAATGAAGAATTGAGACCCACTTGGTTTCTTTACCTTTTGGAGATCATTCAAGCTAGAAGTTTTAATTAAATTCATATACATAAATAGACTTACAAATGTTTTTTTCATGTTAGGTTCTGAAATAGCATTTTGTCTTGGAAAACATCCCAGCTTCTAAATCATGTTCCAGTGTCATTGGTGGTGGGGATGTTTTATTTCCCTCTGACTAATGAGTTGTAGTCTTTCTTCCTATTGACTTCCATAGGAGATTTATTCTTTGCCACGGGAGTAGCAGGAATGGGTGAAATGTTCTGCAGAGTAATTGTTATATTGTTGAAGATATCACTCGTGATTGTGTGCACATGACTTTCGTACTGGCTCTTTAGAATTTTTTTTCTCTTTCTGCCTAACGTAATTTACTCTGCAGAGTGCAACAAAGCATACAATTTTGTATTTTAAGATAACAAGAATGTTCCACACTGAGACATGATTTTACTTTGAAATAAATTTCTAGTAATTCTAAATCTATAAATATGTCAAGCTCTTTTTCAAAGTAAGTTATATTTTTTTTCAGTGGGAATTTTCAAAGTGCTTGAGAATTTTATGAATACTCTTTCTTGGCTATGCAATTATGGTGCATTGAAAAAATACAAACAAAATATGCACACAAGACAATTGTGATTTTATGATAGACTTCCAAAATCCTTGAATCCAAAATTCAACCAAATTAATTTTGTAAATTTATAAAACTAATGATCACAGTAATAAACTAATAAATGCTACGATGTAATGTTTTTCCTTGATAATATTTAAATCTTGTTTAAATTCATAAAAATAGCTTAAATTACATTCAATATTAGAAAATTTCATTCTTTTGTTTAGTGAAATAAAAACAGTAAAAGTAGAATGGTTGAGAAAGGTCCTATAAAACAGAACTGTTTTTAAGTTGTATACCAATTTTCTATCGAGTTCTTCTCAGAGACCTGGAGTTCTGAAATTTTACTTTTTCATTTGATGGTGCTGCAAGTTTGTGGCATTCTTTTTCCTTTGAGGACTTTTTTTTTTTTTTTAAGCAAAATGTCTGCGAATTCCAGTGTCAAAAGAATGTGGTTTAAATGCCATCTCTCTTTGGGTACCAGCTTTAGCTCAGGGAACCTGAGGTGAAAATGTGAACTTAGAAGAACAAAGCTTAATGCCTTCGACAGAGAAACCACGAGCTTACAGAGCTGCTCTGCTTTCTTAATGGTTCATAATGGAATAGACTTGGCCCTGTGAATGTCTTGCTTACATCCTGATAATAAGAAACTTGATTTTTTCGTGGTGTTTTTAACCGACTGTGAATGTGTGATGTGTAGCAAGACCTAGGTCACATATGTTTTTCAACACAAGAACATTTGAGTTGCCTGCTTCTGGGGAAATGTCTGCACTGAACAGTGAGCTGGTGGTGAACAAAGATCACATCGGTTGTAGACGGCGCTGGGATTGCCCCTGTGGGAATGAGACCCGGTCAGTTACTGGGTCTTTGAGTGAATGCCAAGGAGATGGGGGCCATTGCATTAAAATAATAAACCTCTTTGTTTGGAAGGGAGCAAGGTGGCTCTTTCTCAGGATGCGAACAATGGGAAACAGATCATGCTTGTAATCAGCACACTCTGTAAGGCAATGTCACATCTTCAGTGTTTAAAGTGGTTTCAGGAACAGGTGTATTCAGACGATCCTTTTCATATGATGATTTTGTAGCTTTTTATTTTACTTTAACTTTGTGAACCCTGTTAAGTGACACTGTGAGAAGAATCTTAATAAGTTACTTATTTGCTTGCAGAAAGCGACATTCTTTTGTCCTGTGATTTGGGAATTGAAGCTGTGGATAGCTCTGCCCACTAACATTTCATAAAGTAATTGGTGAGATGTGTGCAGTGGGCTTTAATCTTTCCCCAGTATTCTATTCTGTCTGCTCTCGTTTAGCCCCTTGGGTAGGTCATCCAACTTCGTACGCCGTCCCTGTCCCTGGATCTCCAACCAAGCCTCGTCCTAAACCACAGCTCTGATCATATCACTCTCCTATTCCCTGCTTACAAACAGCTAAGGAAGCAGAGTCCCCCCCCCCCACCCCCACCTTTTTTTTTTTTTTTTTTTAAAGGTAAAGTCCAAACTCCTTAGCATAGTTGTACAAAAACCTCATTATCTTTTTTTCATTTCATTTTTATTTTCAATTACAGTTTACATTCAGTATTTTTTTGTATTAGTTTCAGGTGTTTAGCATATTGGTAGACAACATACTTTACAAAGTGATCCCCTGATATTTCTAGTACCCACCTGGCACCATGCATGGCATTGACTCACCCCTCTCCAGCTCTTTCCTAAACAGGTGTTTCTGTGACCATGCTTTGCCCACAACTTTCTTCACCTTGCCATCCTTCCCACCCTTTTCATTTCGGCTCAGTGTTTGATACCTGTCCCACCTTTTAAGGAAAAATGTATTCTGTCCTTTTTGTGACACTTGGTTCATCAGTCACATGTCGATTCATTCACCAGTGTATTACTGAGCTCCCACTCTGTTCCAGGCACCGTTCCGAACACTTATCCCTTTCTGCTTCTCGTCACAACTCTGTGGGCTGCTGATTGTCTCTACGCTGCGGCATGAGTTCCTGGGGAGGGGGTGGGAACAGGGGCCGCTCCTGCACAACTTTTTGTCCTAGCATCCAACATACTGTGCTGACGGAATTCAAAGAGAAAGTGTGAACATCAGGGGGACCTGGATCGTTTCAGTGATGGGATGTGCTACAGGGTCAGCTGTCGTCCTGCCTTGTCAGTGTTCCCATGCACAAAGCCAGGCTCGTCACCATTTTAGTCCCGACTTTTAGTATCATTTTCAAGCTCTATTTTCTCTTCATGCCTTGTCAGCTATAATCTCGTTTACATTTTTGTGTTATGACTGAACCAAATCGTCTACAAGCAGTGAATGAATTGATGGCTGATGGGAAAAGAGTCTTTTCCCTCCTTTTTCATTTTTGCATGCCAATTCATCACTGGACAAGTCTATATTTTAAGGGCAGTATATTGGCTTCCTAATGTGAACAGGAAATTTTTATTTTGTATTTTTTGGTCATTTCTTTTTAAAAAGAATCTCCAGGTGGTCTTTGGGAAATGCACAGTTCATGACAGACTATAAATGTCATCTTTGAACTTGTGCCCTTTCTCACATTTTGAGGGCTCCCCACCCTGAGTCCTTTTTCTCCTATGACTTTGCTTACTGACGTTTTCATACCTTTCAGAGGAGGAAAAGAACTGTCAGATCAGGGGCCGAAGACATGCCTTTGAAGCAAGAGTATTGGCTTCATTCTCCAAAGAGCCACTTCAGTCCCTCCTTGTCCCCACCTAAGGCACACACTTCTGTTCTGCAGTGTTTGAAGCCGACTGCATGGGCTTTGGCCTCCAGGGTGCAGCACTCTAGAAGAATATGTCAGACTGCCTTCAGTCCGTTAATTTCTCATTACTGGAACAGGCTTTCAGAGTGTCTCGGTGAGAAAACAGAAGCGTTTTGGCGATTGCATCTTCAGGATTCTGCATGAACTTGATTCATGTACCTCGGTGTAGCCCAGCTGCTGTCCACGGCTTACATGAATCTGAACCTCTATAGTTAATACTTCTACCTCCTCTCTTTGCATCGGGCTCGAGTTGAGCATGAAAAATGAATTTCAGCATTAGTGAAATCCATTTGGGGACTGGGGCTTTTATTGTAAATGAAATTATTCATTTGTTATGTCCTGTAGTTTTCAGCAGACAGTGTATTGATCTTTGGGGTTGCTTTCAGAATGGCATAAGGAGCTCTAACATACCGGGAATGTGGCAACATTTGTGGACGGGATGAATGTGGTGTGTAATGATAGAGACAAACTTTGCTTGCTAGTCATACTATATTATACAGATCATTTGTCAATAGATTATAGAATCAGCTATTAAAAAGAGCAGATTTTTCCAAACAGAAGCACTGCACACAGAATGTTATCATGGCCAAACAATGTTAGCATGATGCATGGAGGACAGCCTCACAAGGTGTCTTTTTGACGAATTGGACTAGGTAACTTAAAGCATATTTCTGCTGATATATTAGAAAGAAAAGTTTTGTACATTGGAAATTGTGCTCTCAGGTCCAACTTCAATAGATAAAAAAGAAAACGCTGGTAAATGCCTTTTGAAACAAAATTTTAGCTACCAAATGAGCGATGTTTAGAATTCTCTTTTTTCAGACCATTTCATGTTGAGTTCTCCTGAAATAAATGAATAAAGAATAAAAATAGCTTTGTTACTTAACAGTGCTTTCTGCGGAAGCACTATAAACTCTACGATGCTATAGATAAAAGTGCCCTTTTAATCCTTCCGTAAAAATCAGAAATATTCATCATTTCCTAAGTAGGTTGTAATCTTGTGAATTTCTTTAATTGTTCAGGAAACTGCAGTTATTAGTGATCTGATGATCTTTCATTTCTCAAAAGAGTTTCTTTTTAAGCCTTCCTGTGCAAATAAAATGAGCACAAGCATGATTCTAATATCTTTATTACGAAAGATAGATTTTTTTGCTCTTAAATTTCCCTAAACCTATGTCTTTTCTCTACCCTGTGAATGCCTGTTATATATTAGGTAGGTTAAAATGCTCTTGGAGAGATGTTCAAGGACCATCTTGCTGTCATTTGTCCTGAGCTGTGACTGGGCGTGTTGGTTTTCTTGTGGCCACAATTTTCATGCCTTTATTTAGCAGATTGCTGCATTCCAGAGATCTGTGTGTAGCAGGGATTGCTCAGTTAGAGCACTCTCTGTCCTGTGTCTATGGGAAAGATTCCCATATACGTGTGCCTCTACCTTTGGGCTAGTCGAGTGTGTCGCTACCAGCTAGGACCAGTTTGCAAGGGCATCGTGCAGCAGGAACAGAGGAAGCTCCTGGATGCTTCTGTAACTCACTCAGTTGCTTGACATCTTATTTTCACTGTCTAGAACCTGCCACAGAGGATCCTGCCAACCCCCACAGCGTGAGAAACTTGGTGTGACCGCCATCCATCTTGACTTGCCATCTGAGAAATTGTCACAGAGAACAAATGCATTGTATCTCAAAGCCCAGCTCTTCAGTTGATAGTGAGCGCACAGTGCTGAGGAGGATTCTGAGGCTGCGTGCAGGGTCAGTGGGCAGTAGCTGTCATGGGGACCAGAAAAGAAAGAGGAGCCATCCTTGCCAGGCTCCAGCTCTCTCAAGTGTGTTTTTTGTTCCTGGAGCTGAGACTGGCATCCTTACTTTTAGTATAGACAGAATGATGGATTGTTGGCACCTGACACTGAAGGACTTCATAGATGCTCTCTATGTGTGAAGGAACATTTGAAATGGGAGGGGACACAATGTGTGGACTTTATACACTTTACCCTGGCCGCTTCAGATCAAGGTGCCTTGAGACAGTGTGTCTGCACTTGTGCATGCTGGTCCTTAGACCTCGTCTCGTCTAGGCCACTTCCTGCCAGCTGCTGTCTCTCCCTGGCTCCTTGCTGCCTGCTGGCTGGTGAGGACTTGTGTGTGACGGCATGTGGTTCCCTTGGCTCCTGGGCCTTATTACTTGGTTTTACTGGTTCCCCCTGACCTTGACCTCTTCTCCATAATAGGGTTTACCTTCCAGCGTTAGGCCCTGCTGTGAATGAGCTGAGATGGGCTGCCTGAGCATGCGTATGTATTAGAGGAGGAAAATCCAACTGGCTTTTCCATCAGAACTTTTAGGAGGTTCCCACATTCTTTCAGAATTGCACAAAACCTATAGAATCACTTTCACAACCAGAAAATGATAGCTTGACAGTCTGCAGATCTATACAGAATATAATTGTGTGTGTGAGTGTGGGAAGGAGGAGGAGGACGATGCTGGGAGTGCTCTCTCTCCGGCTCTAGCAAAGGGTAGGATGATAATTACACGTATTAAAATAACACTTTGAACATTTCTTGTATTAATTGCAAAAATGAATATCCTGTAACATGGAAAACCATTCCCCATTTCTACTTATTTCTACGTGAAACTTTCCTCAGGTAATTTTAAACTGTCATGGTTAACAATCACTGAACTCTGTTCATCATATTCTGGGCATATTTTTGACCTGCTTTCCCATGAGAGTCATCAGATCGTACGAACAGAGAAAGGCTGGTCATGGTATTGCCAGCCCTGCACTTGTGACAGACCATAATTAGAAGTAATGAATGGAATAATACATCATTACTCAAAGAAATGTCATGTAATTAACTCGAATAATGCAAAATATATCCTGATTTCCATTTTGAATGAAAATAGATTTGTTAGAACGTCAGTAGACAGTTAATGTTTATCCTATATTTTCATCCACACATCAAAACTGTTAAAATCTATTGAATAAATATACATGGATTTTTTGGTAACAAAGTAAGTTAAGATGGCTTTCTTTTGCTAATAGAGTCTCATGCATATTCTTTATTTATTATATGTACATAATTTGTGTATATGTTCAATTTTAGAATTAGCATAGTTAATTTATATTTAATGCAAATTAATGATCTAATTTATTTACTTAGCTCCTATTTCCTTCCTCAAACTAATTGACTGAAAAAATAAGGACTATAAATTTGCAAATAGCTGTTGGGCACAAATCTTAAATTGGCCTTATCCTAAGAACTCCCTACAGTACTAGCCATCTGAAGTAGTTCTGTGATGTAAAATATTTTCCTGGATTTCTGCTCCAGGCTTTAAATATGCTTCAGGAATCTTGGTTTGGCTTAGATATACCCCCCGTTGGGGTCAAGGATGGGCCAGTGTGCCTTTGGCAAAGGAGTTGTTTTTATAGGCAGCATTTAGTAGGGGACCCGGCACTGACCAGTGGGGTAGTTGTTCCCGAAGCTCTCTGCCGAGCCAGCCATCAGCCTGTTAATTTCTGCGTGGTGGGAGGTCCAGGGAGTCCCAGGGCGAGGCTGAGAGGAGTGAGCACCACTCGGAGTAGTAAGGACAGAAGAACTTCCGTGTTTTCGTAGCAGAAATGGATGTGCAGTGGTTACAGCCTCAGTGACAGCCCGGGTTTTAAGGAGGTGAAGACTGACAGGAGGAAGCCACTGTGAATTCCTTGGGATCAACCTGGTATTTGTTTTTCTTTTTTCTTTTTTTTTTTTTATCCTCACCTGAGGACATTTTTCCATTTTTTGTTCAGATAGAGCGGGAGGGAGAGAGAGGAACAGAGAGAGAAAGAGAGACATCGACGTGAAGGGACACATCGAGTGGCTGCCACCCGCACGACCGACCAGGGCCGGGGACCAACTGCAACCAAGGTACATGCCCTTAGCGGGAACCAAACCCGGGTCTCTCTGTACCGCAGGCCGACGCTCTAACCGCTGAGCCAAACCGGCCAGGGCAGTATTTGTTTTTCTACATCATTGAGGCTCGCAGAATAGCAGCTTCACTGGTGAATTAAAAACAACAGAATTCTTTTTTTTTGTTTCAGGTGCCCGTCTCTCACGATGAGTGGGTGACCCTAACCGCAGTTTAGGGGAAAGGCTGACTGTAGCAGGAGGGGCGGGACAGGGTTTCCTGTCGTCTTCTCCATGTGGGGGTGGGGTGAAAGGATCTATGTACACATACACCATATCCTTATCTTTTGTTCGAATTACTTTAGAAATTAATTCATTAAATTAAAATAATGTGTTATGATGAACAGTGCATTGTCAGAGTCACTATTTTGTTTTGTGTTCGTTGACCAATGAGCAGTTGAAATAGGAAAGTTAAATATCAGGCTAGTAGAGGTCCTACTTCTTGGGAGTCGAGACTCCACCCAAACTCTGGTCCTCATTCTGTCCTTCCTGCCCCTCTTGTTGCCCTCCGTGTGCAGTGAACCTCTTTGTGTCGTTGGTTAGGTGTCTGAGGAGCTATTCTCCCTAGTCTCAGACCTTCCCCGTCACTCCTCCTACTTTCCAGTGCTATATTATAAGATAATTTTTTTAAAATGTTATTGATTGATTTGGGGGGGGCATCCGTTTGTCGTACCACTATTTATGCATTCATTGGTTGATTCTTACACGTGCCCTGACTGGGGAGCAAAGCTGCAAGCTTGGTGTGTCGGGATGACGCTCTAACCAACTGACCTGCCGGCCAGGGCTCTCCAGTGCTGTCATGTTGCAAATCTGTACTCTTCCATTCATAGTTTTCATTGACGTTGGTGGGTTTGATGTTTTCGCATAATCATCATTACCGTTGGAGAACAGGATTGACCTTGGTGACTCTGCAAGTCTGCAAGCTGAGAGTGTGGGCCAGGCAGTGAGCTTGACGGGCCGCGTGGTTTGCTCCAAGGTACAAATGAGTCCAGGAGGAAATTCATCTGGCTCTCTAATTTTTCTCTTTTCTAATAGGTTTTGAAATGGCTGTAGTTATCAAGAGCTCTTTTCATTTTGAAGATTTATTTCCAGTTCAGGAGATTTGTCGGAACTAAGAATTATCTGTTGAGTGCTAATACTTTCACAGTAAACCATGATCCCCTTCCATTCACCAAAGATGATTGCTTTAAAAGTTGTTAAATAAGATATGTCAGGATAAAATAAATCAACAGGAATTACATTAAACTCTTAGAGTGTTTCTCATGCAGACATCTAGAATACTAGATAGCATTTCTATTTTGTTTAGGGATTAAATGCACCCCTAGAAGCTTTCTCTATGGAGCTGTGTCTACAGTGATGTAATTGAACTTCAGGTGTGCAACAGACATTCAGTGGGACTTTTCACATTGCCCTGGAACGTGAGTAACTAGGCTCTAAACAGAAAGGATGTCGGCATTTCTGGAGAAATACCCATGTCGGAGGGACAACCTGGCCCAGCACGGTGCATCCTACCTCCCTGCTCCCAAACTATGTTACTTGCTCTGAGCTTGGGATTGCAGGTGAGCACAGACCAGTGCTTGCTTCTCATTTGCATATTTCTGAATGCAGAGTGGGATGGAGAGGCTTTTGGAGTGGCCTGGAGTAGAGCAAGCAGGGGCTGGTGGGGGATAATGTTCCTAGGAAAGAGGTGGGAACAACTCTTATACTCCATCCTAACTTTCTGTAGCCCTTGGAGGAAACACACAAGTAGGTTTTCTGGTTCCTGAAAGGACCATGAGTGTCACTGTAGCAATCAGATCCACAAGGCTGCTCAGATAGACATTGATTCAACTGAGTCACTGGCCTATCCAGAAAGGAGGTTGGGTCATGGACCACTAGCAAGTTACAAATGGAAACATGACTGTCCTTTTGTTAATGGATCCTTAGAAACAGATGGAGTGACAATGAAGCTTGAATACCTTCCTGGAAGTAACATATCTATCAACTCTAACCTATGCGGAGACTGCCGTGTTTGCAGAGGGTCCCAGCAGATGGACCTGGAGCTAGACAGGGACACCTGCCTTTCACCTGCTGACAGACAACCAGTTGCCTAAGATCACTCGGCCCCAGGATGGGGAAGCTGATAGAGAGCTTTAAGTGGTAAAGGCTGCATCTTAAGCCTGTGCTAGGTAGGACATGGAATTTTAATATGAGACTAGACTATTAAACAGAGATAATTTAAAAAAATTTATTAACATATAATTGACATACAATATTATATTATCTTCAGGTATACACTGTGATTTAATATTTGTATACATTGCAAAATGATGAGCATGATGTATCTAGTTAACTTCTGTCACCATATATTATTACACAATTTTTTCTAGTGATGAGAACTTGTAAGATTTATTTTTAGCGACTTTAAAATATGCAGTACAGTATTATTAACTATAGTTGTCATGCTGTATTACTTCCCCGTGAAGTGTTTATTTCACAACTGGAGGTTTTTACCTTTAGACCCCCTTAAACCATTTCTCACATCTCTCCCCAACCCCAACCCCAACCTGGTCTCTGGCAACCACCAGTCTGTATCTATGAGCTTGGGATTTTTTTGTTTTGTTATTTAGATTCCACATATAAGTGAGATCATATGGTATTTATCATTCTCTGTCTGACTTATTTCACTTAGCACAATGCCCTCAAGGTACATCCCTGTTGTCACAAATAGCAAGACTTTATTCTTTTTATGGCTGAATAATATTCCATGTCTATATATACCACATTTTCTTTATTTATCCATCAATGGACACTTAGGTAGGTTCCATATCTTAGATATTATAAATAATGCTGCAACACACATGGGAGTGCATATACCTTTTCAAGTTGGTATTTCATTTTCTTTGGATAAATGCCCCAAAGTGGAGTTACTGGATCATATGGTAGTTCTTTTTTAATTATTTGGGAAAAATCCATACCTATTTTCCATAGTGGCTGTACCAATTTTATTTCCACCGACAGTGTGAAAGGGTTTC